TTCAAAAAAATATTATCACTGGTCAAATTTAACTTTGATAAAATTGATAGAAGTAAAGAAAAATAAAAATAAAAAATTAGGATTTTTTTTGAATTTCTCTTACTTGACGGCGAGAAAGGAGTAAAGCGCCAGATCGAAATAAAACGCAGCTGCAATTTCCGGTTCCGCATTCAARTGATAAGAAGTCTTGATAAGCCCAAGCCGATCCTGAAACTGTGCATCAATCACAGGTTTGGCCAAAGTAATCGTTGCATTTCTGCAATTGCACTTCAATTCTCCCTTATCCTGCGTAATAGCATGCCAAGAAAACTTCCTATTGAAAAACCCAACACTGTCAGCAGCATCCAACACTTTTTTAATATTCTCAAAACTCCCCAAAATGAAAAAATTCACAATATCCAGTTTCCGGAGTTGTCGCAATTGGTCACCGATCTTATCAGCCTCCTTAATCGGCGCAATCACGTGTCTTGTGGCCACGTTTTGAAGCAATGATTTGTATTTGTGGTCCATGACTGAAAAAAATTTTCAGTTTTTTGATTTCAGGATTTAATTTTTCAACCGAAAGAATCGTCAAAGAGGATCGCCGCATTGGTGATGTTTTTACTCAAGACCAAAGACCGGATTATTTCAGGGATGAGGTCAGCTGGGGGTGAGATTTGCACGAGGTATTCCCTCTCGTTTTCGTCGATGTTACGCCACTGGCGCAAATCGCCCTCTTGGCCAAAACTCGCGCTGATTGTGGGCAAACCCAAAGCTGCAGTGAAGGATTTTACAGTTTCTGAGGCTAATCCTGTCATGGTGGTGTCAAGGACCAAATGGGGGTTCATGGAATTTGACAACATGTCGTTATAACTGCTACACACTGTAATTTTTTTTTCAATTTTTGTTTTTTTCAAAATTTTTTTTTACGTGAATCCAGGAGTCCTGAAGCATCGGTCCTGTTCCCCACCACCTTGACAGGGTCGGCATTGACCCCCAGTTTGTTATTTTTCTTGATGTAATTGGTGGCAACATCGACGGCTTTCTCGGCCACTAGATTACCCTCCTCGTTCACAAACACTGAAATTTTTCAGTAATTACTCAAAATTCGACAAGTGTGATACTTACAAACGTTGATATTTTGTGTGGTTTGCCCTTTTGTCAAAATCGCAAAATTTAAAAAAACAGTTAATGTGAGTGTGAGCATTTTGTATACATTATTGAGGAAGCTTTATGAAATGGTTTAATCGAAGCTTTGCGTCAAAAAAAGCTAGTTTGTTGCCAAGTGATTGTGGTGTAAACATACACATGATTAATAATTCAATGTTTCCATTGCTGTGCAATGTGATGGACAACATAAATATTATTTTATTTTGGGTCAGGTCTTGACATTCACTTGCGTGCTCAATTCGGTTTCAGGAATATTATAATAAGAGTTTTGATATTTGTTTTTCGTGTATTGTTCGTAATTTTGATTTTAATGGTGTTTAAAGGTATCGATTTGTCAATTATCGTCTATTATTTGCAGGGTGAAAGAGGAGAAATCGATACCTTGTGGTTTTCAATTTTAGTCGATTTTTGAAAATATAAATTCGATTATAACTTCGAAAATATTACGTAATTTGCGGTTTTCTGGACACTAATCGATTTTCCGGACCACTTTACATGCATACAGTTTAAAATATTATTCATTTTGGGTGTAGTTTAGCCGAAATTTAGAAAACAAAAAAATAGAAATTTAAGAACCCCTTAAGCTTATGCAATTATAAATACAGACGTGTGCATATGTATGCCCACCATRACCAATCTTAACAAATTGAAATGAAGCGCGCAAATTCAAATCCGGAAAATTTGAACGTGAATATCTCGAAAAGTGTGCGTTASACGTAAAAATAAAGTATGTTAAAAAAGATGCYCAATAAAAAGTTCTATCGAATGGTTAAGTCAAATTTGACTTTGGCGAMGGTCATTTTCGTATCTCGCTTAGGAAAAACAAAATACCTACCTCATTTTATATTWTTAAAATCTATGCGTTTTTCTGAGATGTATGAGGGGTGACACGATAGGGTTATTTTTAGTTTGAAAAACTCACCCCCAAAATGTTTTTTACACAATGCAATTTGTTTTACGTCATATAGTAGGGTTATGAATGAAGAAAAGAATCCCATAATTTGAATTTTTTTTGTTAATTAAAAACCGAGATTTTGAATTACTTTATGTCAGAACAATTTTTTATTGGTGTTCAGTGTTTACTATTTGACTCTCGTGATTTTTCTCAATCTTGTCAATTAAAATTTTAGGCTTAGAACAACTTTTAAGATTCTCAAAATTGAGAAATTTGTGGAATTTTGGCCCGACCAGAAACTGCCAGTAAGTGTTAATTTTGATTGTAAATAAAAGTATAAAAGTCCCAAAGCTCAATCGTACAAAGTGGAAAAAAAAAAGAAATTCGAGGTTAACCTAATCTGGCTCCAGTTGATGTGACGTGAGCCCAAGTAAAATTTTGATTTTCATACAAAATTCAGTGCTCTACGATGAATAGTTATCGAGAAAATTTCTGGTAAAGTCAAAAATATCGAGAATTTAAATCCGACTATAACTCCAAAACTACTACGAATTTTGCAGTTTAATTGACGCCAATCGATTCCCCGGAATATTTTACATAGGTTTAGGTCAAAATATTATATCATTGAAACACAGTTTTGCCGCAAATTAGA